AGTTAAGGTAATTTGGTTTCAATTTTTATCAAGATATTAACAAATATTCTACATTTTATAATTATAAAGTTTCTATTTGTTATTGTATATTGTATACTACAGGCATTTACTGATCACTCAGACCTGGTATCTAGACGTATGGGTCTGACACCACTACCACTAGCCTGTCTATTATACAGAATACTGAGTAAATCTGTACCTCTATCTACATACATGGACTTCACTATATTGTTTCTTCTCTATCTATGGTATGTTGATTATATCATTTGAATTGCTTTCCAATTGACTAGATAGAAAATATAAATGTATGTTTTAATATTATGTCATTTCCATGTAGGTATACATTTTATGTTGAAATAAATCTGTCTCTATAATGAAAATGGAAGGACATACATGTATGTAAAATGATTTTAAACAACTGTCTTACCATTGAAACTTGTCCATATTCAACTGTCTTCAAATGAGAGGCTGAGCCAAAATTGATTTCAGTGGATATTGTAAAATGATTTTGGTAGCAGAAGTTTCAGAAAATAAATTCACATATGATGGGTATATCTTGTTTTATCATTCTTTAACAATACAAAGCTTTCTGAAAGAACGCTTGTATAAATGATGTCAAAAAAATATGTCTCCTTTAAACTAATGCATAGCAGGTCACACCTGACAGCTTTGTTGAGTATTATTTTGACCTGTAATTTGGTTAAGTTTATACTAATTTATTTATGTTTGATTGTGTTGGAAGCTATATGCTTATTGAAACACCCTTAAATTTGATAAAAGATGTATGAGACCTTTCATGCCCTGTTTATTAAGATGAGTCATCAAAAAGAAGTAGTGATAAATTGATACTTTACAGTTTAATAATGCAGATTGTATCAACTTTCAACATATATTTTACTGAAATTTTGAAACAGGTATTATACCAGAAACAGACTAAGTAGTGAAATGTATCTTTTTCTTTTCAGTTTGATGTCTTTTAAAGTGTTCAACAGTATAGTCTTACTGGGACATTCTTACATGGTGATAGAAAATTATGATAAAGAGAACCATTCAGCTTCTTCACCCAATGAGGATCAAGAACAGAAAACAGAATCAACCAATCAGAGACCAGCATCAGTTGAAGACCATGCTCCAACATTGTCAAACCAAAAAATACATGAACGGACAGCATCTTACGATGAAAAAATATCCAGAAATTTTAGTCAAATATTTTCGGCAGATTCTTATACAGAACTTACGCAAGTGCAATCTGATACAGCCATAGAGCAAACTGGTGGATTTTCTTTAAAAGGAGCAAAACTAGATTATAATGAGAGTAATGATGATGTACGAAGCGCTCCAAATGATAATAAACCTGCATCATATGTTGAATCAAAGTCACCTGACCTCGCTGAAAAGTCCGTTTCCTGTGAAAATATAAATATATCTTATGAGAAGCATGATGTGACAGGAAAGGAAACAAATATTACCCAAAATGCATTGGGAGATTTACAATCATCCAATGAGAGTCTTTTAAACATGTCATGTGATCATTTAAAAAGTTCCCAGAATTCCGTGGGAGAATCAGGCCCAGCAGGTGATAGTCAAAAACAGTTTCATACCCCTTCCATTTTTCAAAGATCTCACAGAGGTATTTTTATGAATTTTGGAGTAGGAAAGAGGACTGGATCAACGAGGTCACTTCCGGAGACAGTCGGTATACAAGAGTGTTCAGAACAAGAAGAATGCAGTCCTATTGAGGAAAATGTGTTCACCGATAAAACTGAGAAGGTAGAATGATCTTCATTGCTTAATAATTGATATATTTTTTTTCTTATGTTATTGTTTTTTTTTTATCTAGGGATGTCAGTGGTAATGGGACATTGATGTTTTGATTCATCTGTCAATTCTGTAAATTTTGTGTTGATTGTATAAAATACATCCTCAGTGGCTATATGATGTTTGGCTACATAATTATATTGTTGTATTGATGACTTGAAAAATCCTTAAAATCTTAACATATTAAATCTTGAAGAATGATAATTTCTTAAAGAAAGTCATAATCTCGTACCCATTACAAAGATTTGGAAAAAAAAAAAATAATTAAAACATGAAACTGAAAGCAACAGTCATATACTTTGAATTTGGTCTCGTAGATAAATGTAGTTGAAGATGTGCTCGATTTTAACCTTAGAATATAGGAATGATTTTTAATACTTAAGACAATCCCTAGCTATTGTAAAATATTTTTGTTACTAGAAACTCTAGTCTGAAAGACTTCAATATTTGATTGTTAAGGATGTATGATAAAATTTGTTTGAATGTGTTCAACATGATGGTTTATTTAGGGAGTTCTTAACTCCCTTTGTGTTTTTTGTTGAGCTTTAACTGTTATCTTTGTCTTCAAAGAATTTAGATATATAAAGATAGTCCTACATTTTCATGATGAAATCTGGCTGTAGGCAACGTTGAAATGTTTTGACTGTTTTGTAGCTATCATGTTTCTGGAATATAATTTTTGATTTTTTTTTGAAAGGTTAAACTTTATACTTGTAAAGTTCCATAAAAATAGTCTTTTGACATGTTTTAAATTTGAGTAACAGTTGAAATGATAATTATTTGTTATATATAAGTATGACAATTCAGAGTCTGATAGCTAGCTACTATATACATGTACATTTAAATTTCTAATTTTTATGTGGTCATATTTTATATTTTTACATAGAAGTATTCTGTTATCAACATTCCAGAAACTGTGTTTTAGAAATTTTAAGAAAAAATTATTTACACCATATTTATACAGGCATCTTGAGATATGTAGACACAAAAATGATAAAAGACCTCTTATAAAGATGAATTTCATAAAGTCTCAAGTTCATTTTTGTACTTAGTTGTGCTTAATCATTTCTCATCACTAGTTAATATCATTAGATAGATTCATTTTTATTCCATTTAAATGTTGCCATGATTATGACCATTATTATTCTATGACCTCTAGTTTAAAACATCTAGGATTTGAAATTAAGGGATGATAATGAATTGTCTGAATTATATATGTGCATTTAAGATTAATTTTCGAAACTTTTGAAGGCATAAACTTGCAACATGTCTTCACGATTATATTTGACGATCACTATCCAAGGCCCATGACTAGTATAGATTTTGCACGGATTTTGACTGATTTATGGCCCTTTGTAAACTTGACGACTGGCTTTTTTTTCATGTATTTAAATGAAATCTTCCTTTTTGTTTATTCCTTTCTAAAAATTTAAATTATTGATGCTCTTTGTTTCACTATTAAACACAGAGGATATAGCCTAGTGTGTTGTTTCACTGACTGCACTTGTGTAATTTCTTTCTAAAATGTTATAAGAAAGTAAGTTTTGAATTGATATATTTTATATATAGAATTATAAGTAGAATGTTAGGTATTTAGATTTGTTCATCCATTCCATAATTCCTACTTTAACATTGGTCAAAAAGTCTTTCTAGTCTTAAAATCGCCTTGCAAATTGTGAATGTTTTGTTTATGCGTCACATGTGGCTCTCCAGTTCTGTATATATTGAATTGCATTGTCATGAAAAAGGATATAAATAATGCATGTAGTTTATTTGGTGTTTTACATGCATGGTGATAAAATGCTGCAGATGACTTATCGACTGGTAAATATTTACTTATTATTGCTTTTGTCTGCAGTTAAAAGGACATGCGTTTCAAAGGTTTTCAACCACATCTTATTTTTAACATGAATGATGGTATAGTATAATTCAGTCAAAATGAAATATTTTCTCTTTATAATGTGAACTTTCTTGGTAAAGGGTCACCTTTTCATTTACTTGTGTTCATTTGAGCTGGGCATTAAGGTACGAGTCATCTATGGTTTGATTCTCAATCTAAGTGCAAGTGTGATGAGTCAGTTAAACTTCTGTGATCTTCCAAGCCACAGACTGCTCACCTAGTGACCTACTGTGTAAAAATACATTGTTATTAAAATATCTGTAAAAACAGATATAAACATTTTAATAAAGTTAGTATTATTTAGTTAATGGCAAGTTCTATAAGGGCTACTTTATATGCTTATAGTCCTTGGAAGAAATTTTTATCACACAAAAAAACATCTTTATTGACTAAAATAATCTAAATTCATGATAAAATGTGCTGTATACAATGCTTTTTGAACAGTAATACCTTTGTTTTGAAGGTTATATGTGGCAAAACTTATTACTGTATTTATTATATCTACTGACCTGAAAATTCATTGAATGAAAAGATTATCTGTAAAGTGTACATAAATGGCATATTGAAAAGAAGAATAACAGATTGGCTCTGTTTACCAAATGATTTACAGTGATAATGTGCTATGATTTTTTTTTATGGTTTTGAACCTTTTTGCTGTTACATATTGCTATACATTATTAGATAGATCAGTTGTTTCATAGCATACTTTCCATTATTTGGTTTCGTTTTTCGTAACTCTTGATGGGGTCTCCTATTCCAGATATGTGTAGGTGGGTGAAATTGTTTCGAGAGAGGCACTTCAAGTGCTTCTAACATCATTAAGGCTAGAGTTCCACCATATGATTTACAAATAAACATGATGCCATTAGTGCTTAAAACCTTCACAAATTATGTTAATACAATTAATAAACAATCAATATTTATTCACCAAATAATGTATTATATGTATTTCAGATATTTGCATAGACATAAAACATTGTTTGAAGAACAATGCATATAAATATTGCATTATCTAACATAAAACTAACATTAAGTGAATTATTTATTGAACATCAAAAGTTTGTTGCAGAGTTTGTTATATTGACATTTTCTTTATTTTATATTTTGTATGATATTATATGTCATTGTATTCCATTTCAAAGCATAACTAAAGTGAATGCAAGTTTGAAGTGTATTCGGTCAACAGAATTCATGTCATTTTAGCTGATATGTATTTTATGTTAGATTAAAAAATTAATCATGGTATAAATACATTATTTTTTTCTCTATAAAATGATATTTAATTTCAAACTTTGCAAACTTCTGTCAAGTCTGTACTGCCAATCAATGCTGGTTTTTGTTGCAAGTGTCCATTTTTTTTAATTAAGTTACATGTTAGTTATTTTGATTTTTCTGGAATATGAGGTCCCTTTCAAAAATTTGTGTTGTTTTATCTGTCTAGGTTAACGTTATTTCAAGCTGAATTTGTTAAATTGCTGTGACCAAGTCAGGATACTTATGCAGGATTAAAAAAATCATTAGTGTACTGTCTATCTATTATCCTCACATTGTTTCATGTAGTAGTTACTTGTACTTTACTTGTAAAGAAAATTAGACCGGTGCTTTAATCAGAGTCTTTTGTTTAAATCTTGCTTAAATATCATTTATTTGATTTGATTGTAATTTATTAATGTGCTTTATGTGCCTTTGCTTAAAACATTTCTGGTGTTCTAGAATACAATATTGTTAGAGACTGTATACATGTGCCATATAATAAAATGATTTATTTATTTGTGAAATTGTCTTCCCAGTGAAAGAGGACCAAATAAAGCTTTTACATGACTTACATTACTGCATAGTTTGTTCTCATTTGTTTTGTTTTATTATTATCATGTTAAAGAGTTTTTTCTAGCTGTTTAGCTCACCTGAATAAGCTTTTATGATCAATGGTTGTCTCTCATATGTCCATCTGCCGTTTGTCCACAATGGTCTCATATACTAGGAAAACTTTAAAAATGTTCTGTTCCTAAACCCAAAGATTTTTAGTGAGGAGCATTACATGTATATAGTATACTTACCAAGTTTGCTCAAATTATAACCCTGTGGTCAAATTGGAAAACCTTTTTACATGTTTTTTTCCAAACTCATATACCATATATTTGTTACATGTATAAAGAATTGTGTATTGGACATATTCCAAATTTGTCTGATCATGGATTCAAATTAGCTCAATTAGAAGTTTATTTGATTTAACATAGATCTTATTAGAAAAAAAACCCTGAAAATCTGAAAGGCATAGAGCCATATATTTGTATGTATGATCAAAAGTAGACCACCACCAAGTTGTTCAAATCAAGACCTGGGGTAACTTGATAATATTTTCTCAAAGCTCAAAGATAAGATTTTTGGTGTTTAGCATTGTGAATTAAAACTATCTAGTTTAGCAAATGCAGTGGATTCAGTTGAGTCTTCAGGGGCTGTAATGACCCTCTTAGTTTTACTAGTTAAACAGAGCACAAGGTGCTGAATGTAAGCTGTCAAATCTCTCGAAAGTGTGTTATTTCACTACCCATTAATTTCGAAAAATTATGTGAATATATTAAATTTATGTGACTTCTGTTTGGCATCAATCGGACAAAGGATAAAGTCAGGTAAACTGAAAACTTAAAATGCATTATCAGTGTTCTGACTTTTTCAGTATGATAACCTCGATTTTATATCAGCTATTTAGATATATTTCCACATTTTTGAAACAATCAATGTCAGGTCCGTGATCGTTAGAGAGATTTCTTAAACAATCGTCTTTTACATGCCTTTTAATGGCAAACTTGGCCACAAAGCTGTAAAGGCATCTTTTATGGTTTTGTTAAAAGCTATTTCGTATTGTTTTATACTTTTTATACTAACACGGAATTGTCTATGAACTTCTATTATATTTTTAGTAGGGCGATGCTCTTTTTGCCCTACGCAGATTGCACATGCGCGACAAAATACTATATCAAACTTATATGACGCCTAAATAACTTATACGTGCATCTATAAAAATAACTTTTGTAAATCTCTGAACGCTAGAGACGTTAATGATAAATCTTCATTATCAGTGCTGTCCATTTTCTCTTTTGCAGAATTTCCAGTTTTAGCATTTTAAAATTAAAAAAAAAGTTTCTTACGCAAAAGTCGTTAGCACACATATTATGGGAAATCTAGGAATATGTCAATTTAATCCTAAATAACGGTCTTAAATCTGGTTCATTGTAAAACTAAGTTGAATGAACTCTAGACAAATGTATCGATGAAATAGAATTAAAAACACTACTAATGTTCAAGAGAACGCCGCGTTGCGTGTCCGTGTATTCTAACGCTTTGACGTCACCTCTGTATATCATACAGGTTATTGCTATGTTATATTGCGTGTTTGCAGCGAGGTATACGCCTTCTGCGAACGATATGGGTCCGTTTGGCGGCACAGGTTCAAGTCTTGGTCTCACAAATGATTTATCTTTCATATTTGTAACTGTTACCACAATGTTTTGTTCATATTGTTTAGAGCTGTAGAATAAGGTGACTTTCCTAAGGCGTAATGGTTTATCTGCAACTAAAAGAATCTGACACGCAGCGGTTAAACACTTTTTAACATTATCTGTGCCTGACAGGGGAAGTTTTAGTTCGAACACACTTCCGGGTCGATGCATGGCGTCAAATTTTCCGACATGTTCTACTGTGTCTTCGTCTGCGTCAGCGTTCCTGTGTGACGTCATATGCATATATAATTCTACTTGTTCTTCGTTTGTAAGAAGTCCGGTTGGAACAACACTTTCCGTAAATTGCTGAACCGGTATTATCGGCATTCTTATCCTATAGAGCGCCTCTCCTAGCCAAGCACGCTGGTTCTTGGCTGTAGGTTCGAATCCTTTTTTCTCACAGTGATGTGCCGCCCATTTTATTGCCGCTTTGAATACATCCATCTCCTCTTCAACGCCTAAATTTCCCGCCTTTAATATCGCAAGTAAAGATAATGGTGTTAGCTTTAGGAAGTCGTCTGTATCAAAAACATCATTTGCGTTCATACAAATGAACTCTAGAGATTTAGCCTGTAGAAGATCCATTTCATAAAATGTTGCTTGGTTAAACATGGAGCACGCGTTGTTCACGTCGATGGCGGTTTGCAAATAATGTTCACATTCTAATACTAAATTTCCCAAATCGTATTTTTTCGCTGCATATAACACGTGTAGGACAGTATTGCCGTCAAATTCTACACAATCCGTGTAAATGTACCTTAAATGAAATGGATATTCATTGAAAATAACAGCTAGCAATTATTGAATAATTCATTAATTGTTCTCTAAATAGCCAACTTTTTCTCCATTATATTTGGAATGAAATCAAATTATACGAATCCGATAATTAGATCAAAATGTGCGCTGATCAGTTAATGGATTTTAATGATTTTAGCCAAATTACCAGCATGCGGACGAATCTAGGTCGTCTTACTAATGTCACATCGCTAATTTAGCTTCTAAAAGTTCATTTTACTTAATATTTCTGCTATTAATTTTCTGTTTGCAGACAACAAATATCGTTATGTATTTTGATACTGATTAATTATCTTCAGATATAACGCTAATATTGTTATGTTGCAACGTTTATTTAAGCTTTAGTACACGTTATGTGAATTTAGGAGCTCAATTGACCAGTAAATACTAATTTTCGGTCATAGGCAGACGGTATTACTTTACAAAGTCGTATGCCAAATTACACAGAAACTCTAAAATGGTGCAAAATTTACTATTGATTTTTGTTGTATTATATAGATTCGAGATTTTGTCGTAATTACCTTAGTATGGTCCTAAATGTTGTAGCTCGAATATCTCTCACTATTATTTCTGACTCTTGTTTCTCGGCATCCGGTCCGAAAAAAATGTTTTCAAAAGCTGGACTGCGCATGGCAAGTACAAACTTATGTGCCGGAAGTGAATCTTGTTGTCCCTCGCGACTCGGAAATACGAAATAGATATCTGCAAGCGTCCCACTCATGCAGAGTTGCTCAAGAAGTCCAGACGCTGTGTTTGCCTGTCGCCAGTTTGTTAGACTAGTAGCAATATCATATCCAAGCGTTGTCATGTTTTTCTGAGACGAAAACAAAAATCACACTATTTCTTTTGTAATGGAAGTATGACATTAAACGAATGTGTTTCTTCGAAATGACAGAGTACATCGCATTCCAAGAAAGACGGGGATGACAGACATATCTGATAATTGAATCTAAATGACCATAAACATTCAATGTTTCTAGTATCTGTACTTGATTCAGTCATTTGCAAGATATTTTGTAAAAAGAACGTCCAAACAAGTGCCCGATAGTTTTAGTAGTTGAGTTGTACATAGATAAATAGTTATATTTGAATGATTTAATACTACATTATTTTAGCATTGTATGTTAACATATATGTTACAAATGTACTGAAATATATTTATTCTTTTGAAAATGTTATCAAAACAACAGAAGTACAATTTAACAAAACTCACATTTTAAAAGAAATAACTTCTCTCTTTGAGTTATTATTTCCATGCTAAACATTTACATGATTTAAATACTTTATTCATTTTTTACATTTCACTACCTTTCTTATTGTATTAACACTTTGTTATTTCATGACCAAACCGCGTGTCGGTACCATTGTTTTAACGACACCCTAGTCTGAAAATCTATACCTCTATGTGGCTCAACGATTTAAATTGAATTACGTGCCAATTAAGTTACCGATATTTTAATTCCGTTCTATTTGCCTTATCTTTACATGTACTTTATTCATTATGTTTTATACACTGCACAATTATAATGTTATGTTTTAAGTTTAGAAAATGAAATAGAAAACATAATTTGCTGCTTTTTCTCCTGCGCTAATGCATGGTAATACTATCATACATGTATATCTAATTTATTTGTTCATGTAAGTTATTTACATTGTGTATTTCAAATGTTCTTATATTGGTAGATAAATACCTATGTACGTATTTGAAACATTAAAAGAAAAAAAGAAAACATTTCTTAATATACCTTTACAAATCTGAATATGTAAATTTAGAATAGATACAATTAGAATACCAACATTGAACTTATTTCTTAACGTTGTAAATAATTCAAAAAGCCAATAAAGAGTTATCTTTTCTTTCAATTCATGTGTTTAACTTTTCGTCCGATAGAGAATTATGTATTGTGTTAAAAAGCAACTGCTGCAGTGAAGTATTTTCATGTTTAACTTGTATAATGTTACAGTTTTTGAAGAAATTCTGCGTGTTTGCGTAAAGAAACATCCTGTCAATAAAACCCTATTTACCTTTTCCAAATACATTCCGTAATAGACCAGTATCCTTGTATGCGAGGGGGAGGGGGCGGGGGTACCTTGATTTTGAATTTAGAATAAAACACACACACGGACAAACAAAGTGTAATGTCAGATGGGAAGAGTGTTTCATATAGTCCTCAATAACAATCTATGTATTGATGATAGAACGCTATGAATATCTACAATCAAAATGCCATGTGACATTCAAGTCCATGTTGTGAACATTAGTTAACAAGAGTGTAATGGAAAGCATATTTATACAAAAATGTGATCATTTTAAAATTTACCTAGAGATTGCCTATTGTCATATGACGCTTGACACTGAATGTTTACTATGAAGAAACAGATTTTGTCCAATCATTAAAGATAAGTAAACGTTAACGATTCAACAACAACTATGGTGATATTTCTTTTATTTTAATTACATGCTGGATAAACATATCATATTATTAGAGGAGTTAAGAATCATTTTGGATTTGTTTCCTGTTAGTTTAAATAACTACATGTCGTTTTGCGTTGTAACTCATTTCTTTAAAAACACGTGCTCTAACTGTAGCATTTTGTCTGAATGAATTGAATATATTAAAGTCTTATTGGAAAGAAAATGACCCGGAAATAATTTTGTATTCAATAAAAAAGAATCAGTCAGAGTTAATTTGTTTGCCAACACCGTTTCACCAATAACAAATGACCAAATGATCTTTCCTAAGTGGAGAGTCGATCATTGTTATTGAAACGCTTCCAGAAAATCTAGTTCGACTTTCAGCAATACATTCCGTATTTATTTTACTGAAACAGTTAGTTTCAGTAACTGAACCCAGTTTTCAGTATAGGCATACAGATTGTTCTAAATCATAATCAAAATAGTTAACTTTGTGACTCATATAATTATTTCTCATGTACATGTCTTCTTTAAATATTTTTTGAACTGACACGTGTATACCTGCACAAAAATTCTCAAGTCATCTTTAATAGAGAGATAGAAAGCTAAATGTAGTATGTACGAGTATGTATAATATTTACGTGAGTGGCCCAAGTAACGAACTTGGGTTATTCAAATTAATAAACATATAATCCTATGTCTATAAAAACAATATTCATATTTTTAGGTTTATACATAATTGTACTAGTTGTCCTGTAACCGACTTAATTGACCATTCATTACGTTCAGAATAAATCTCAATGATTATGTTTGACAGGACCCAGGAATTTACAGACGTTCTAGCTCAAATCTCATACTTTGGCTACTGCTGACAGCAGGAGTTGCATATTTTAATACAATTTGCATACGTAATTGATTTTTGCGCACATTTATAAAAGAATTGACACAAACGTCATATTCACGGTTCAACAGGGCACCGATTTCCGGAATTAAGGTGCTTTATACAAGAGTTTTGGTCCATTTAACCGGAATTTCGATGACAACATACCAGGGTTCAACCAGTGTTATCTCTTTTATAACGAGAACTGATGATATTTCCATATTAATGAGCGTAAGTGCTCTTTTAATACCATTTACATTTGCAAAATATATTTTTTTCAGTAGTAGGTTTTATTTCTCAATTCTTTTACAGTAACAAACCTTCCAAATGAATGATTTAAACGATCTAAGAAATAATTATACAGAGACTTGCGTCTTTTAAAACAACGATACAGTGGCGTGAAAATTGCAACGGACCGGAAGTTACCCTTATTTCGGCTTGTTTAGAATATTCGCAGCTTGTATTTTTCCTACAGAAGACGCCAGGAAAAGAAAATCATCGGAAATGCAACAGGCTGTCTCGGAGTAAAACTAACAAATTAGTTCCTATTTTATCTATTTGTTTTAACAGCAAAAATAGCACTCATATTTTAATAAAGGTTTTCGGGACAAATTTAGGTGCTAATTATTTTAATGAACATTATTAACCACAATTTCCCCAGAATATTTATTGTTTAATATTTTTGCCATGTTAAGATGTTAGCAAAACAACACTGAACTTCTATTCGTGTATTGATAATAATCTCTTTTGAAAGAGTTGTTTGTAGTTTTTCCCGTAGACATGTTTCTAGTTTCTTAGTTAAACTTAAAACCTATTCTTAGTAACGTTGTTTTAAAATATGTGACTTTTTGATTGAGTTACGGTTTTTAATTATGTGTATACGGTTGTACTGTTAAATTTAAATAGATTCACTAAATGATCATAAAGTTTTTGTCATGATTCGATCAGACATATCTTGTTGTTTGAAGTGTTTCTAGTTATGATACAGAGCTTTCCATGCGTCATCCTGTCATAATAGTGATGTGTCTTTGTACCTGCGCACCCTTCCTCATCTTCCGCTCCCTACCAATCTTTTAAATTCCTCTTGTTTTTAGCTTTTGTTATATGTAGTAAACACGAGAAAAACATATTTCAATACAAGGTTCCATGCTAATGCACATGTAAGAGCGGCATTCGCAGCTGTAGCTTAAAGGAAGTCAGAAATCAATTTAAACCGCCGCACTAGGCTTTCAAAGCTGGTAATAACAGCGTATAAACAATAGACACGACAAATAATTATTTGTATACGGAGGATGGAACATTCATATCAGCGTAATATCATATTGATTGTAAATCAAAACACTTAAACAATTAACACGTTATTGATATTGAACGATTTTCGACCTATCTTTAATTTCCGTCTACTCGGCCACAGACAGACTGTGGCGCTTAATTTCCAATCTTTTTCAGAAAAGCTGTATTCACTAAATTGCTACTGAGGAGGCGGGAATGCGAAATGTATTGAAGATAAAAATATAATGTTGTATAATTTGATAGTAATTATTGAGTAAATCGTCGATGTCAAACACAAACAAAATTCGTTTGAAGTACATATTTCATTACAGCGAATGAATACATCGTAAAATTTACTGGAATTTTCTCATTAGTGTGTGTACTCTACAGGATAAAGTTCTATAGAAAGATATTTTGTAAATGTTTGTTTCAAATTAGTTGTTTAACATGTTTTAAAATATCCTATACGTCATGGGTTGAGGCGTTAGAGGAGTTGAATTGCATGTTTAATTGGATTATATGTTGTGTGGTGAATCAACATTTTCATTTATATGTGGCACGAAATAATGGTAAGTTCTTTTATTTTATTGAATACATTTTTTAGAGAAGGAAGTATTAAAAGTAATTTTAAATAGATTTTTTTCCATATTTTTAACTTAACTTATTTTTGTTATTTAGTTATAAATTCGTTATACAAAATGTACCATGTTCTGAAAATGTTTTACAGTTATAATGGCAGAATTACATAATCACTCTATTCTCTTGTGATATTTCGAATTTGAACAAAGGACCAAAAACTTTTAAATTTTTTTTCTATTACTTCTACTACTTTTTTATTGGTATAATAATGAAAATAACCCTACCTTCAATATTTCCGCAATTTTTCGTCCATGCAGATACGGACAATGTATTTTACCACATACGATCTTTTAATGAAATTGATTTTATATATTGTTGAAAGCAGAAACAGAATGATTACAGTTTTATAAGTTGATTAACTTGGTAATGATATCATAATAAGCAACCACAAGGGACTTGTTATTCTTCTCATTTATCTTTAATTAATGTTTATTTTGTTACAGATCAAGCAGGCTTTTCTCGCGGTTGTGATTTACGATTTATGTAAGTATGTGTGCAATTGATAGTTTTGTTGTTGTTTGTTTTCTCCTTTATATATGTTACACTCGTTTTATAATTTGTGAATTTAATGCATATTGTAAGATCGCTAAAGAAATTGATTTTAAAAAGCTAAAGAAAAGCTCTTTACTGTATGAAAGAAAATTCATTCTATTTTGGAAATTATATAAAGATACTTAAGCGTAATTTATTGAAGTCAAATATAACTTTTGTTTTGG